GGGGCGCTGCCCAGCGCGTTCCTGGCCGTTGCTTTTGTGGACACACAGCAGGTTGGCTGCTGGCAGGCCAGGTCCGGCGTGCAGCAGGTCGCCCAGCCCGCCCGTCGCCGCCCGACCCTGACAGTGGAGCTGGGGTCGCCCTCACCGGTGCTCCCCCTTGCATTTCGCAGCCCTGCCGGGGGCAGCAGCAGGGTCTGCTTGGGAAGGGCGACGCCCGAGGGCGGGAGGCCACAGGTGGCCGCCTGCCAACCCAGGAAGCGGCCAGCAGCCCCTCTCGGGGGTGAGCGGCTCCGGCTGCCGGGGCGCCCCAGCAGCGCCCTAGCACCGGGCACTCCCAGGGCAGCCGGCGGAGCCCCCCAGCAGGCGGCACTCTGCCTGCCCGCCTCTGCCCTTCAGGGTCGCGGCCATTTTCCCAACGGTCGTCTTTAAGGCTCGGTGCTGGTGCACGCGTGGACTTAAGTGGCTTTTCAGCACTAGCCCGGGGATCAAAGCTGAACCCCGGCAGTATGTCCCGACCCCCCTGTACCGCAGCAGGCAGCCCTCGCTGCCCAAAGGCTGGCCGCGGCCAGACTGGGCGGCTCTGGGCCCCTGCGTCTCCCCCAGCTGCCATGGGGTTCCGCTTTCTCCCCCCAACACCTAACCCCAGCTGAACCGGGTCAGCCATCCCAGCCGAATCCACGGCGCGGCCCTGGTCGATGCCCGCCAGCCGAGGACCTGACAGGGCCAGGAGCGAGGCTGCCGCGGGCCCCCTGGGCTGCACCAGGCACCTTCGCCCAGGGCCCCCCGGCCTGTGGCGGTCAGCATCCTGGCGGGGTCGTGAGTCTCGGAGCCTAGGCCGCTCTGGCCGTGCAGGTCTTCGGGCCCGTTTAAGAACGGGCTCCTGCCCGAGACTCGTCGGGACCCTGGGCCCAGGAGGGCCTGCTGGCCGCCCCTGTCCAGCGCGGGTGCTCCCAGGAGCTTTGGCCACCCTCCGCACCCCCAGCTCCCCTCCCAGGCCAGGGCTGGGGCCGCTGCCCTGTGTCCTCCTCGGAGGCGGCGCTGGGCCAGGCGTGGGGGCGC